AGACTAGAGGCATCTCGGCTTCAGTGGATAGTCCTATTCTTGTGGAGGACCTGAGGGTCTCTTGCCCCAAGCACAAGCATCACTCTGCTTAAGGGCTTGAGGCATCTCTGTCCCGGAGAGGAGGAGGCTGGAAGACTGGCGGGTTAGCAACCCTTTAGGCTAAGAAGTACGGAGCCTAGCGCATCGATACCCCAGCTCCCTGGGCCCTCGCGGGGACATTCTAAGATGTGTACTATGCACCCTCTCAGGAGGTCTCCAGGAGGATTAAGTCCTAGTTGCCCACTCTTTATCACAATATTTCCAGAGCCTGCTTTTGGGGAGAGCCCTGTCCACTAATCCTCCCCAAAACAACAACTCCACCCCTTGCTCTCCGGCAGGCCTTGGGGCCTTTCCTGACCAACTCCAACCCTCTAGTGACTTGGATTGGGTGCTGGCCCCAGGAAAGGAGCCTAGTGGAGCCACACGCACTGCCAGAAGATAAGGCAAAGAACACACCAGTCACGTGACCACCCTGCACGGCTGGATCGCAGGGAGCATGCAACCGTGAACACCAGCACCAGCCTGCCTGTGCGCAGACGCAGGCGTTTCTAACCTGGATAGTAAACTAGGTGTGTGTGTGTGTGTGTGTGTGTGTGTGTGTGTGTGTGTGTGTGTGACCAACCTGGTGGTGAAGTATAAATATGTTGGAGTAGGCAGTGGTGGCTCTAGCATTTTCTGTGAAGGGCAATGTGGGTAGAAGTAGCAGGGCTGGCAGGTAGTGTGGTGGTTAGGGCGGCTGGATTTCCACATGGCTGACTGAGGTTAGAGTCCTGGACCTGGCAGCTTGCTTTCTCACTGTCCTTCTCTCTCTCTCTGGTCACCTTAAAAAAAATTAAAATTAATAAAATTAAATAAAACAATTCTTAAAAAAAAAAAACAACAACAAGAAGAGCTAAGGATGTGTGAAGATGTTGCATTATGTATGTTCAAGAATACTCCAATGTCTGGGGGCCGGCAGGTGGCGTGGTGGATGAGGGCGCTGGACTCCCACATGGCTGACCACAATTCAAGTCCTGGACCTGGCAGCTTGCTTTCTCTCTCTCCCTTTCTGGTCAGATTTAAGTAAATAGAATAAAGTTGAATGAAATAATTCTTTTAAAAATAAAAAGAATACTCCAGTGTCCTTCCAACAGCAGGGGAGGAGGACCAAGGCGACCAGAGCACTGCGGGATGTTTCTGATTGCTCCTGCTAAGGCTGTGCAGTTGGTCTGGGCTGGCATCTGCGCAGTGCCGCTTCCTGGCTGTGAGAACATGGCCACGTTACCTAACTTCCCTGAGCCTTCGCTTCCTCATCCTTAAATAATGGGTCTGATAAAGGTGCAGACTCAGGTCCAGGGTGAGAACTCAGAGAAGCCGCACTGTCACAGCACAGGCAGGTGTAGCGGTTAAGGCACGGGACTCCCACATGGTAGACTGCAGTTTGAGTCCCAGATCTGGTGGCTTGAAACTTATGCTGGGAGGGTGTGAGTGTGTGCCCATAATCCTGAGAGGAGAATGGAGGAGAAGAGGTTGTGGCGTGGCCATTCTCCCTGGGTGTGTGTGTGTGTGTGTGTGTGACTTGTTGTTTTCTGTCTCTGTCTCTCTCTGTCTCTCGGGCAAGCGCACATACCCTATAGCAAAAACCTCTCAAAGCATAGGGCTGGGGACCAAATGGGAGCACGGGGTCAGCCAGGCCCTTCCAGATGGCTAAGCTCCACCGCTGAGTTCAGGGTGGAGCCCCGCCCTGTGCAAGGCTCGGAAGACAGTAACCGCTGAAGTCCTCACCCTGGGGGAGCAGGAGGGGGGATGCGGCCTTTCAGCAAGTCCGTGTCTCTCGCCGTTTGTGAAGCACACTGTGCATGGCACGGCACGGCCCGATGTGTGTGGTGAGTCACATCCACAGCTACGGTGACAGACGTGACCGGGATAACTCCCGGGAGTCCCGTGTCATCCATGTTATAGCACTGACCATGGAAAGTAACAAGTACGAGAACGGAGATTTGTTTCCAGGGTGGAGACTGGCAAATGGGTCTCTGTGAATGGATGATCCAGGGGAGAAAGGAGGGTCGCACCTAAAGGTGCCTGTGGAGTGGTGGGGAACCCCAACGATGTTCCCAGGGAATACTCGGAGTTTGGGGGTGCACCTGGCAGTGCTGTGGAGTGGCGGGGGCCTTGCCCATGTCCCCAGAGGATAGTTGGGGTGTGTGGGGTGCACCGGGCAGTGCTGTGGGGGAGTGGGGAGCCCCTGACTGTGCCAGGGTCGCTGCATGGTGTGGGAGCGCACCTGATGATGCCTGGGTCCTTCCTCCGGTGGCCCGCGGGCCGGCACCACTCCTCCACCATGACGGCCGACTGCCGGTTGGCCAGGAGGCCGCAGAGGAACAGGGCGAGCGGGGGCGCGAGCAGCAGGCCCAGGCCGTAGAGGGCATTGTAGCGCGCCAGGCAGGGGCAGTTGAAGTCGAAGGAGGAGTACAGCTTGACGGTGACCGCGGCCAGCAGCAGGCAGATGCCGTTCATCACCGACTCCGAGCTGGACTGGAAGTGCTGGAAAAGCATGCGGAATCTCTCCATGGCTCCTGCCTGCCTGGTGCAGAGCCTCCTCCAGGGGCTTGAGAGGACGAGAGGCACACAGGGGCCAGCCGAGGAGGACCTCAGCCAGAGGGAGCGCTCCACGAAGGCTGCCTGCCCCTCGCTGTTGTCCCCCCAGTGCCGCTCCCCTCGTCCCTGGGGGAGTGAGTCCCTGCTCTGTGACCAGCCAGCCCAAAGCACCTCTATGCAAATGGACCCCGCCCTGTCACTCCATCCCTCTCCAGCCCCTTCCTCCTCTCTTGGGGGTTGGATACTCTGACAGCTGGAGGACCTTCCTGGGGGACAGGCAAATTCTGGGTGTGGCAAGGCAAAGATGGCGATGGAGCCAAATTACACTTTCTGGTCTCGGTCAGTGCCGTGTGACCTGGCTCCGCTCAGTCCAGGGAGATTTCGTGTTTGCTTGCAGGCTGGGAGGAGCCACGAGGGTCCCCTGTCCCTGCCTGGTCTTCCTTGCCGAGGTGCCTCGTGAGAAGAATCTGAAATCGTGTGTCACTGCTCGCCGTGAAAGGGGTTGTGGAAAGGGAAGGTCTTCCTGGCAGAGGGTACCGAGTGAGCCGAGGCATGGAGGTGAGAAGTGTCAGGTGGTGGGTGTCAGGAGAAGGCTCCGGAGGGGCCAGGGGTCAGGGGTCAGGGGCCACAATCCTCTCCCACAGTTCTTTTCCCGCCCCCCCCCCACCCA